ATATAAATTATACCTCAATAAACCTTTTTAAAAAAACAAACCGATAATATATTGAATCTTATGTTATAGTTGCTCTAGAAACTTCACTTTCTTTACTGGATTTTAAAATATCTATCGATACAACAAGTGCACCCCCATATCTATGTGCGAACACACAAACACAGATCGAAGAGCATGCGAATGAACTTTATCAAACAACCAAATCTATGTCTTCTGTTTAATACTTATCGATCAGATTTCATGTGCCAAAGTAGCATCCCCTAGGGACAGAGTAACCAAACTGTAGGTTCAATAGCTGAATAATAAACCCCCTGGGAGCTGAAGAGCAAACCTAAAGTTATAGCAACAGTGAAAAAGGGTAAAACATCCTTCAGTGGAATTATACCAAATGGCTCCCAGTAAAAATAACTCTCACAGAAACATCCTCTGAGAGCTGCAAATGTGATTTCCATTTTGCAATATCTGATTTCCAGACAGAAAAGGAAAATGATACTGTACTTTGATTTTCTTGATCTTCAGGAGGCTCTAGAACCTTCACAAACTCCACATTCACGTGGATTTCAACACCCAGCATCAGCGCCACCTTGAATAGGATGAGCTGCAGTTGGCGAATACCTGGTAGGAAGGCAGGGGGAGAGAGACGAAGTGTGGGTAGCAAGGCCGAGCGCCTGCTGTGTGCAGAGTGCCACGTAACCACACTGCTCAGTGGTCTGCGAGCACCGCAACCTGCCAACAGCATCATTCCTGAGCACTAATTACATGCCCACACTCTGTGTTTTCTCATTTAACCCTTACAGTGGCCCTTTGGGGTCATTATTATTCTCATTTTATAGATGAGAAATTGAGGCTTAACAAGGTTAAGGGACTTGTTCAAGGTCACACAGTAGCAAAATGAGAATGTGGACCCAGGTCTGTCTGGTTCCAAGACCAGGCTCTAGCCGTTAGATGATGCTGTAATGAGGGAGGCTCTGTCTCCGACTCCTTGCTGAGCTGGGCTCTGGGTTTGATGAGACAAAGATGGAAAGAAGAGTAGGCCAACAGAGAGTAAAGGGCTGTAGGTCAAGTCAGTGATCAGTGGCTCTTCCTATGGGGCCTGTCCCTCTTAGCCAGCCAGGGGTGAGGGGTAGGGTGGGAAAGTCTCCCCACAAAGCTGGGTCATGGTTCTCCATCTCCTGTTCACTCTTTGAAACTCCCCCAAAGAGTAGAACCTCATTTTCCTATTTTGTCTCCAGGCATTCAGCACAAATGCATATGCCTCTAAATATTTTTCTGCAGAGTGAGAAGTTCTTAACTTCCCGTGGGCCCCTGTGTATTTAGTGGGCTTAGCTCATCTAACATTATTGAGCATCTGCATGTGCCAGGTGCCACGCCAGGCATAGGAGACACGGAGCACACCCTCTAACATAGGTAAACAGAATGGGCAGGATACGGTGGGGGTTGGGGTGGTAGAGCCAGAATGGGGCTTGAGCAGGGGTCCTGGAAGCCAAGAGAAGAGGGACCAAGAATATCAAACCCATGGAGAGATTAAGGACTATGAAGCTGGCAAGAGACGGGGCACTTGGGGGTTAGGAAGCTTCTGTACATCTTTGTCAAAATCTCTTTAGCATGGTGGTCAGGAGAGATCAGACTGCAGTGGAAGGAGGTGTGAATGGAAGGTGTAGACCAAGTCTACACTTCCTCTTTCTAGAAGAAATACTTTGAGGCAAGGAAAGGTAACGGTGCAACAATGGAGGGCTGGATGGCCAGCGCGAGGTGAGGAGCAGGAAGACCCAGTGATGGGGCAGGTGGAAAGGAGGGAAGGAAGCCGGAGGGCCCGGAGTTGGGAAGGAGGCGGCCAGCTCTGCCGGGTGGCAGAGGAGGGAAGCGGGGCTGGCCCGGGAGCACTGCCAATGGCTTTTCTCTTCCCCAGAGCTCAGGAGGGAGGCCATCTGCTCAGAACGAGGAGGCTGTGCTGGGGTTTGGAACGCAGCAGTGGGACCTGGAGGAGGACGCTAACACGGGACATTTGAGAACTGCTGAGCAATGCTGAGCATGAGCTGGGGCTGGAAACACCCTGGGCTGACAGGAAGCCAATCAACTGGGCTTTAAAGGGCCCAATCCACGCCCTACCATGAGCTTCCTTCCTTCAGGGGAGGCCAGGCCTCTCCTTAGAATTTCAAGTTCTTAGTCCACTTCGTTCCAGCACACAGTAGGTGCTCAATAAATTCTTCTCACCTCCCTTCTCACCAGTACTGGAGCTACCCTTGACAATGATCGTTCTGACCATCTCAGTCTTACTTCCAGATTTCTGCCTGCACTTCTGCATGCTGCAGTATTTCCAAGGACTGGGGGTTAAACGAGAGCCCCGTCAAGGAGGGGAGAGGGGGGCTCTGGGCCAGGAACCAGCCCCACCACCCAGGGCCCTTGCGAGGCCTGCTGGCGCCCAGCTCTGCCTCTCGGGAAGAAGACTTGATGAGAACGTGGTGCTCAGTGTCGTCATTCTAAATTGGTGACCGACACACATTCCTCTGTGGGTGGTGGAGAACATCCTTAAAGCTGACGTGGCAGCTTTCTGGGCAAATCCAAATTTCTTTCCATTGGACTCCTAGAATTTTCTCATCCCAAAGTGGGAATAAACTCTGGGGCCACTGCTGGTAAATTCTCCTGTGTCTGAATAAATTACACCCTATGTGGCTGATAATTCTCTCCAGTCATTCCTGCCCAAACCCCAGTTCCTTTTCCCATCGAGTCTTGTCCTCATAAGAACGTGGCTCTCAGGGCTCTCCTCCCACCCACCCCCAGAGCAAAGCATGGTTTGAGAGAAGCAGCCCAGCGTCCTGAAGTTTGAGGACCATGGCTGTCTCTTACTCACTGTATTCCACTGGACACAAAGCGCCTTCCTGAGCACCTACTATGGGCCAGGCGTAGTGCTAAGCACATTGCAAACTTGACCTCATTTAATCTCCTCAGCAACTCTGGGAAACAGGAATTAATTACATTGTATAGGAGATAAAACCGAGGCTTGAAGAGGGTAAAGACCTTGACTAAAGTCGGACAGAAATGGAAGAGACAGATTTTGGACCCAAATCCGTTCAAACCCTTGAACTCTCCCCGCAGTGTTAACCTCCTTGACTTACATGGGTGACTTTGCTACATAGTCATACATAGTCATTCCACAGTCAGCCCTGCAGAACGTGAGTATAGGCAAAGTCAGCCCTCCTTACACGTGGGTTTTGCTTTCCACAAATGCTATATTTTCGACCTGCATTTGGTCCACAAAAATTTGTGTATAAGTAGACTCACACAGTTCAAACCTGTGCTGTTAAAAGGGTCGACTGTATTTAAAATGGCTAAGACCTCCTTCCTGCAAAGCTGACCCTCCCCAAGCCTGTCTCCACAGATCTTGCCCCGAGAGGCCCAGGCTTGAGTGATGACAGAGCAGAAGGGCCTCCGCGTCATCTCGTCCTACGTAAGCATTCAGGGATGGCCTAGGTAGGACCTGAAATCGTGTTCTCTATTTCCCTTCCTAGTCTATCTAAAGTTTAATCACAATGTTCTCTCTCTTTTTAAAGCCTAAGTTTTAAAAACTTTGGTATAGGACCTGTTAGGAAACACAGATTCAAATGCATCATTTCTCTGTTCTAAAACTTGCCATGCCCCCCAGTACTGGCAGCATCATGTCCAAACTCCTTTGCACAGAGGTCTCAATGATCTGGATCATGTGGCATCCTCTCTGAACTCCTTTAGCAAGTGTGACTAACTCTATTAAAGCATATTTTATTACTGACAAAATTTTGGTGAGCACCCCAAGGGTGCAGACTCTGCTATTTACTTCTGCCTCTGTTTTCTGTATTTCATTCATTCATCCCACAGATGGTTAGCAAGCACCTGCTATGCGTCAAGCACTCCTTTATGCCCTGGAGATAGCCTGGTGATTACGACATGCCACAGTCCCGGACCTCATGGTGCTTACAGACTAGAGAGGCAGAGCACAGGGCTGCGTAAGGCATAAAGTGGGCCTTTCACTGAATGTCTGTTAGTTGGATATATGGAGCCCCCAGGGACTTGCAAGATGGAACAAGCTGGGGACTCCTAGATGTACAGAGATGTGTCCGCCCCTCCCTTCACGGGGTCCCACCACTGGCTCTACTCACTGATGTGGTCGATAGAGCCAGCACAGAACTTCCCATAGAACTTCTTGGCTCCCAGGCCCCGCAGGTCATGGATAGTGAAAGGCCAGAGGTGCAGCACGTTGTTCCGGGAGAAGGTGTCCCTCTTCTCCACCACGACGACCTTGGCTCCCAAGTAGGCAAGTTCAATGGCAGTGCGCAAGCCGCACGGTCCTCCCCCGACGATGAGACACTGTGGAGGTGAGAGAGGAGAGAGACCCTCAGTGACCTCTAGCATACAGACACGAACCCCTCGTCAGCAGTGTGATGGGGCGCAAACCCCAGTCCACCCAAATCAGCCAGCAAGTGCAAACGGTGTACCTGTCCAGGTGCAGCACCTGTGGGCCTACCAGGCACCAGCCACTGTGGCAAGCCCTGTGAGGGATGAAGAATTAAAGGGACTTGGGGAGGAGGCAAGTAAGATGCACACGAGGTTCAGAGGCAAACTGAGCTGGGGTTAAGTTGCAGCTCTGGCATTTGATGCAACGTTTCCTCATCTGTGAAGTGGGTCTACTACCCTTTCCTCGTAGGGTTCTTGTGAGTAAGGTCACACTTAAAAAGCATATGGTACACCTTTGTGATCTTGGATTAGGCAATACTTTCCTAGATACAACACCAGAAAGCATAAGCAACAAAAGAAAAAATTGATAAATTAGACTTCATCAAAATTAAAACTTTGGTACTTCAAAAGACACTATCGAGAAAGTGAAAAGACAGCACCACAGATGGGAGAAAATATTTGCAAATCATGTATCTGATAAGAGACTTGTATCCAAAATATGTAAAGAAGTTTCACAACTAAACAATAAAAATACAAATAGCCCTATTAAAGAAGGGGCAGAGTATTTGATTAAACATTTCTTCAAAGAAGATATACAAATGGCCAACACATGAAAAGATGCTCAGCACCCTTAGCCATGAGGGAAATGCAAATCAAAGCCACAGGGAGACAGACAGCACTTCACACCCACTGGCATGGCTATAATAAAATAGACAGAGAATAGCAAGTTGTGGGTGAAGACATGAAGAAACTGCAACCTTCGTACATTGCTGATGGGAATGTAAAATGGTGCAGATGCCTTAGAACAGTCTGGCCATTCCTCCAAAAGTTAGACACAGAAGTACCATATGAGCCAGAAATGCTACTCCCAGGTATATATGCCAAAGAGAAATGGAAACATACATTCACACAAAATCCGATACATGAATGTTCATGGCAGCATTATTCACAACAGCCCCAAAGTAGAAATAAGCCAACTGACAATTTCCTGATGAATAAACAAAATGTAGTATATCCATACAGCGGAATATTATTCAGCTCTAAAAAGAAAGGCAGTTCCAATAGATGGATGAACCTTGAAAACATCGTGCTAAGTGAAAGAAACCAGACACAAAAGGACACAAATGGAATATTGTATGATTCCATTTAGATGAAATGTCCAGGATAGGAAAATCCATGAGACAGAAAGTAGATTAGTGGGTACCAGGGAACAGGAGAAAGAGAATTGGGAATGACTGCTCATGGGTACGGGGTTTCTTTCTGGAATGTTCTGCAATAAGTGGTGATGGTAGCATAATTTTGTAAGTGTGCTAAAACCACTGCATCATATACTTTAAAAGGGTAAATGCTATAGTATGTGAATTATGTCTTAATAAAAAATTCTATTACAAAAAGCATGTGGTACAGAGCTTGGCACACACCATTATAAACGTTATTCTTATTGCTGAGACCCAGTCCCGTCTTCTAGGAACCCTCAGGTTAGAGGTAAATTCAGACTTGTGAAATAAATAACTAGAACCTCATATGGTCGGTTCTATTTGGAGCCCAGAAGGGGAAAAACTAATCCTGCATGGTAGTCTGGAAAAGATTTCACAGAGGGGGGGCTTTAAAAATGATTAATATTTTAGCCTACTGTATTTGTTGAACATTTACTATGTGGCAGACACTGTTTCAAGTGCTTTATGTGTTTTAGCTTTAATCCTCACAACAAATCTAAGGAATTATTTTTATGCCCATTGGAAGGAACTATTATTATACCCATTTCACAGGTGGGGAAAGCAAGGCACAAAGCAGCTGAGTAACTGCCTCATGGTTTCACAGATTGAAAGGGGCAGGGGCAGGACTCAAACCCAGGTGGTCTCATTCCAGAGCCCACCATGCTAAACTGCTTCTGGTTTGCCCAGAATAAAAAGAAAAACAACATTTCGGCAGAGAGGACAGCCCATTCAAAGAAAAAGAGAAAGAAGTTCAAGGTGGTTGGAGACCAGGATACTTTGGGAGAAGAGAGGGGAAGGAGAGAAAGAGATGAGAGTTAGTCTGAAGCCAGATGCTGAAGATCTTAAATGCCAAGAGGAGTGTGGTCTTGGTCCTGTTGGCACTGGGGCCACATGGGCAGAGGTGACAAAACAGGATTGCACACAAGTTCCACACCAGGTCCTCAATGGACATTGAATGTCGAATAAGGCAAGAGTCCTTCTCCAGGGAAGATACACTACGACCTAGCTAGTTTTACTGGGCAACAGCCCTTCCATTCAAACAAAATCTCATGAGGGGCACCCATACTGTCTAAAACCAGAGGGAAATGGTAATACTTAGTTCAGCTGGTGGGGATCTAAATAGCTGAGACTACCCAAAGCAAGGCAACAGGCAAGGAGACCTGCACCCCCTCCTCACTCCTTGACAATGCAGAGCATCTAGAAACCTCCCTTCTGCTTGAGAGCAAACCTTATCTTAAAAAAATACATTCCCCTTCCCCTGGCAAATATTCCATCATCTGGTTATCACTCAGCTGGGCCTCCAGGGTCCCAAAGGGAAAGTGCAAACAAGCATATCAGAAGCTCCCACATGGTAATCAGTGCGGCTTGCTGGTTGGAACCTTCCAGGGAGTTTGTGGACACCTAATTAGGGGAAATGAAGTCACCGCTGAGATCCAGCTCAGAGACGTCGGGGAGCGAGTGGGTGTGCAAGCCCGCTCGCTTCCTCTCTGGATGGAGCCTCAGGAGAGAACCAACCACCCCCCACTCCTTATCTCACTCCCCAGACAGCTCCTTGGCGGACATAGCCAGACAATGACGGGTCATTTCAAAGCACAACTCCAAACCCTGACACTTGTGAGGTTTGCTTTGGGGTTAAATCTAGATTCACTGCATTTCTTTGCAGTTACTGCATCTTTTCCCCTTTGCTGAGTTCTGTCCCTCCTGGGCCAGGGATGGAGAGGGGGTGGGAGGATGTGGGGTGACGAGAGACAGGAGGGCAGGGGAGGAACCCTCTGCATCCTTCTCTCCCCCAGGTCTGACCAGGCACCGCTCCCTGGCAAGGTAGGAGACCCTTTTCCCACCCAGCCAGGGTGCTGCTGTGCATTTTGCACACCAACAGTAGCCGGTGTACTGTTTCTAACCCTCCTGGCTAAACCTAAAATCCCATCAGTGAAAGCTCAGTTTTACCACCATCCTGGGCCCCAGCACATATTTCGGGCCTGAAATTTCAGAGATGCCAGTCATACCATAATCTAAAGTCAAAGCAAATACCAATGGGCCTAATTATATAAAGGGAGAAAATTTGGTGCAGATGTTATCAAGGCCGGAGAGAGGGCTTGTGGGCAGGGGCCGGGCAGGCTTCTCTCGGAACACGCTTGTTATGATGAACATGGGAACTGGGCGTTCTGACAAGAGGCCCAATGCCATGGCGGCCACACGCCTGGGCAGGGGAGCAGGAGAGAAGAGGACTGGCAGGCATGCCCACTGTTGATGCTCCGGACACGGGGCAGGGTCTAAACAGACCACTGAGGCCAAGAGTTGTGATAGCTCAACCCAGAGGAGCGCTCCACGTTCCCCAGACCTACCGGGCTATTGCTGCTGAGGACTCAGTGCCAAGGAAGAAAAGCTGTTCCTTAAAACTCAGCCCTCAGGCCTTCCTCAAGCCCCCTCCGTCCTCCCACAGGCTCTGTCCATACTGCTACCCCAGAACTAAGCTGTGCGTGCTACCCCTATCTGTGTCTGAGCCACAGCCAGTCTGAGCGCTCCCAAACACTGCCCGGTGTCCTCTGTACTGCTGCCTGCTCAGAGCCCAGGACCAGGCCTGGCACACGGAAGGCCTTAATAACTAGCTGACAGATGGATGAACTTTCCAACTCTCCCTGCCCACCCAGTCTGGCTCTCCATCTGTAACTGGGATGTTCAGTTCACGTCAGCCGGGGTGAACGTCGGCAGATTCCCACCCAGGCTGAGGGAGCTGGGGTCTGCCAAGGCCACCGGCATCTCGGACGTCAGCGTATCTGTGTGTTCAGGCAACATAAATTATTACCCAGTGGGGAGCGGGACTGATCCACGCCAGCAGGAAATCCATTGTATAGATAAGCTCCAGTGTTCAGGCCTCCACGATAGCAAAGGGAGAGACAAACAGCACATGGAAAAACCAGCTCTTTATTTACCAAGGGGGAGGAAGGGGAGGACGATGGCTGACTCGCCCATAGTCAGGGCACACACACGACTCCTGCTGCCGCGTGGAGAGGCCTGGCAAGCACAACCCACGTCTTGATGACACGGCGCATCTTCCAGCCGCCCCCATGCCAGCCCAGCAGTGAGTGGGCGTGCTGGGGCTGTGTCAAGAATATGCAAGGGATTCAATCTCCAGAGGGAGACGCCGAGGGGACCAGGGGCGAAGCCAGGGGTTAGTAGTCTGCAGGCTTGATTCCACTTCTGAATCTGCCTCTGCGTTCCCTGGGAGCCGTGTGTGCAGACACTACCGTGAGGCGGGGTGCGGAAAGCCAGCGCTTGACCAGGGGCTGCCCTTCCCCAGCCAGTCTGCACCGCCCTGTACCTCATCCGGAAGGATGGTTGTAATTTCTAAACTGCACTGTGCCCAGCGCCTTCTCCTTGCCTGGCACCGTCCTGATCGCTTTGTGCATTTCATCCTTGCAACTGCCCTGCGACGGTGTTATTATCGTCTCTGCCTTGTCAGCGAGGAAACCAAGGCATGGGAACACTAAGCAGCTCGCTCAGGGTACCCTTATTATCCCCAATTTTGGGTTAAGAAATGGAGACAAAGAGGGTAGGATATTTCTCCAAGTCCACATAATGAGTAAGTAGTCAAGTGTGGATTCAAACCCAGGCAGTGTGGGTCAAGGAGCGTGTGTGTTTTTGAAACAGATTCTCGCTTTGTTGCCCGGGCTAGAGTGCCATGCATTGGCCTAG